AAAAGCTTGCCTCATATTCAATACTATATGCATACAAAGTATGGACATGGATGTTCACATGAATGTAATGAAAAGATTGCATTGTAAAAGGTTTACCATCTATTTCCATGCTGCAAGATATTCATTTATGAGGAAAGAAGCTTTTGTAACTTCCGCTACTAAAATTTGCTTCTTATTTTTCAGAATTTCTGTTTCTGTCTAAATAAATAGTAGCTAACTTGATCAATTTACAAATAGAACGAACTTTGAAGGTATTCTAAAAATTCCATCCCGTCCTTTGACAGGTGTAACATTTACGAGATCCCACTCGACTGGTACATTTGCTGTCTCAAATATCTTCTGTACTGAAGCTGATATTTCCGGACCAATACCATCTCCTATATATTCTCGTACGATGTTTTTAATTCACAACTTCGTTACACAATTTACTATTTTCAATGTTATTAACTAAAGCCTCCATTAGGAGAAATCATTGCAAAAAAAATTAAGGTAAATACTGTTATAGTGCTGATATTTCTATGGGATAATCGCCACAACAGTAGTTTGACTAATTCTTTGGAATCAGAAGTAATAAGAATATGAAACCATAACAAGTTCAAGAATTAAAAACTACTTGAGATTCAGAAAGTACTAAAAATCTAGATACTGTGAGCAAGATTTACCAGTGAACTGAGGATGACTTGAACATAAAAAAATTATGAACCATAGACTGGAAATTAGCTAAATGCCATGTAAGGATTAGCTATACGAAAACATTCTTACACTGATATTTATTTTTTATAATTATAATTTATAACAGTGACTGCATGAAAGTGACCAGCCTGGAATAAGTGTAACACGATGTAAGCTACTTGTAGCAAGTTTTGTAACAACAGGTGTAGCAGCGTAAGTAGGCGAAAGTGAGGTAGCAACTTTAATGCACGATTTCGCGATCATTCTTTCCTAATCACTATGCACATTAATATTTTATCTGAAAGCACTCAATCAATCATCAAAAAGTAAGTCTAACTAACCTTAATCTCATGTTATACAAGCATACTATTAAGCAGGAAACTAGTTTGGGTATGGATGACCATCAATGCAAATGACCACATCCACTACGAAGTGTCTTGGCTATGAGGAATGAACGGTTTGACATTCAATGCACCCGCCTCCTTTCCTGACTTTATAATATGACCATATGAACGTGTGTGGGTGAGCATATACACTCACATACACGTCTGTGGGCGTGCATAGACGCTCACATATATGCATACCCACACACACCTGCATTTTTCTTAACATATGCGATGAGACGATCGATTTTTCATTTCTCATCTCAGCTGGCGATGATGGATGTGAGTGTCCTACAACTAACACGTAGTGATATGAGCACTGCTGAGTCTAAGCAAAATATTGAGCGATTAGATCTGACCCCTCTCCTTTGATTTACTGACCTCTACTCTTCTATATTATACGAGTAGACAACTTGTATTGTAGCTATATAGTGACGCTGCCAATAAAATCCATCTTTTTGCAGTTCTTATGACCTCTTTTTGCATTATTTTTAAGCAGATTCTCTAATGGACTTTGAATTCCTGGTCTTGCTTCAGCGTATAGTCCTCAGATAGCTAGCCACAGTTTTGTAATGAATAATTACACTTTCATATGTATGAATGAAGCAAAAGATGATGTAGTAATTCTAGTAATGCTACTTCTTCTTTATGTACCATTTTTGACGATTATCTAAAATCAAATACATTGTAAACAATTTTTGGACAACTCATTGCATATGTAACTGCACAAAAATTGTGTATTTAACTAAATTGTCAAATTTTGTCAATTTTTTTCTGCATTACTAAATTTTTTTTTTATCTCGTAATTCAAAGAAGTCCTGGAACACGTACATTTAATATGTCAGTAGATTTTTCGTATATTTATGCTGTTTATAACTTGTATATGTGATGACGAAAGCTTTTGCAAGATATTTGTGTATTTAACTAATTTCATTTTCAGATGAAATGATTAATCCGCATGCTGTTGAAGGAAGTAGCACAGAAAATATTGAGTTACGAGTACGAAATGCCATTAAGAATAACGGGGAAAATCGGAATCGATGGGACAAATCAAAAAGCTTTGATAAGGTAGCTTATAAGGAAGGAATAAATATTTCCCTTACCTTCATCTGTGATTGTTTTTGAATTTAATTCGGAAATTATTCAAGTATTGTCTTAGTAACTTTTGTTCATCTTTTAGGTTATTATTGAGAAGAAGCTGAAACCAGGAGACAATTTGAATAAAATAGCCATACAGTACTCAGTTTCGGTAATCGTCTCATTATTTTGCTATTGAGTTAAAGATTTTGCAAGATATCTAGTACCATTCAATCAACTATGCGTTGAAATCGGTGTAAACTTATTATTGCTAATTTATTTATGTGCATCTATGTTGATTTTCTTTTAGCTAAACGATTTGAAAAGAGCCAACAACATCGTTTCTGAACAAGATATTTATGCCTTACCGTTTATCAAAATTCCGGTGAGCAAATTGCGAAAAGAATTGGATCTGGAACATGGAAAGATTTTGATGAGACAAAACAGTCCCGACGTTCTTCCAGAAGACCTGGCTGATGACAGGTCACTTATATTTGAGAGTTTTTGATACAAGTATTTTGTTGTGTATTTCAAAACTTGTGATTGTTTTTCCTGTTATTCTTCTCTCTTCATTTTATTCATATCCTCTTTTCCTATCTGTTGCAGACCTCTTTTAAGTCGAAGTGATTCATCGGATAAAAGTGTCGAGGAGTTGTTCGTCAAAACTGATGCATATATAGCTCAAGCACGAAATAATTTACCTACAGCGAGTAGTATAGATGGTGCTGTTCATTTCGTTAATGCCAGCTCTCCTGACACGTCATTCAAAGTATGTTGCGTAAATTTCTTACCAGTAATGCTGTCAATTTTCATCAAGCTTTTATTTACACTTGAACTACTCTCATTTTATTTGTTTTGTGATGTTGACATAAGTTAACTCTCTTACCGCCACAAATGTGAGACAAGATTTTTTCAATTTTGAGTTTTTGGCAAAACTCACTTCATACTCAATATTTAGTTAAGGGAGATGTGTTTATTTTCAACCGTTTGTTAACTGTTTGAGTCAGTTTTTATCTGTTTTTGGTGGGAAAGAAATTTTGAATTATTTTTTAGGGATGAAACAGATATATTAGTGGTACAAATGTAAAATTTGTTTGTTAGTTCATTATATTATCTTATTGCATTAAAAAGAAACAAAACAGCAATATATTTTTGAAAAATATTAGCTTTTGTATTGCAGTGTCATGGTAGTAACAAAAAATGGTTTTCGTAAATTTTTATTGTTTTCTATGCAGTCTAAATCAGCTTCCCCATCATACTTTATTTATGATTTCAGGGTCTCTGGTTTATTTTAATACTCGTAATTTTCTTATTTGTATTCGTGCCGCTGATTTTAACATTTTTGGAGGAAGAAAGAGGAAAGTCCCATACTGCAATAAAGAACTAATGAATAGAAAAAATTTTTTACATGGCCTCTACGTGTTGTCTAAAAGAAATTTATTTTACATCTTTATCTCGGGTGCTATTTTTTTCATGCGTGTGCAATTTTAATCATTTTTCTCGATCATTTGGACGTACTTTTGTTTCTTACGTTGAGTATCATATTTACTAATGTATTTACAAAAAGCAGAAATCTTCTGGAAGAACTATGTTTTGTTATAATAACATTGCATTCGCATTTATATATAACTGATTGAATTTTCGACATATTACCTTTGCTCAACGACTGTTTCACTCGTAAAAATGTCTTATATTTGGTGTGTTGGTTCATTGATATATACTAACTCAATACTCTTTTACTGATCGTGTGAAACATTGTTTACTTTCATAGATTTATCTTATATTGAGATGAAAAATGGTCATTTTGAAATAAAATTTAACTGTTCATCCACTTTTGTTGAAAATGCTTAAAGCGTGGTTTAATAGAGCGTTATCTGTACATCACTGTGTGCAATTGGATAATAGTTCTAACACTATAAGCCCGTTAATATCGCTCGTTAATGAAAGTATTTTTTCTACCACAAATTCATTTAATTATAAGAAAGTGGGGATTGTATTTTTTTTATCGTTAATTAGCGATCTCGATTCGAACCTACCTATAATTGGTTTATTCTGCTTTTACGAAGTTTGTGGTTCAAGATCACTAAATTATACACTGTGCGGAAATCAATTCCATTTTTGGGAAGAAAATAATCCGGGAATTAAATAGTAGCTCTTAGTTTTAGTATTTCTATGTCTAGTTTGTACTATGAAATTTGGATTAGATCATTCTGATTTTGCTGTAGGTGTCATTATTGATTCGTTGAAAATATTTAAATTTGTTTGCTCAGATTTCTAATGAATCTGTCGATAGCTTATTCACTAGAAATTTCGAGTACTACTAATTATGGTTTTGTGGTCAAACCTCTAATTACTTAACAAATGAACTGTGAGGAATAGTCTATGAATGTATATTTGATATTAAAACATGGAGTGATTGATAACGGTCAGTTTTTATGAACAAAAAACATTTGATGGATACGTTGTAGAGAAATGGGTAATTGCTTCTCTGGTTCACCGCGTCAACCAGCTTCGTCATCAGCTACTCGTAATGAGCGGAATTCACCAAAATTTTCAGCTGATCGCAGTAGTTGTGAGCCATTGAAGGAGGCGAATTGTAGCGAAATACTAACTCCAAGACAAGAAACTCATGCTTTGCAAGGTATTATAGTCACGATAATGGTGAATGAAATGTGGTGAATTAAAAGTTATTCCGTACTGAGAAGTTTTTTGACTATTTTAAGACCCAGTCCCTGGCAAAGAAGTTTTGGTTGCGTTGTATGCGTATGAATCACGAGCAGATGGCGATCTTAGTTTCAGGAAAGGAGATGTCATGTACTTGTTGGATCAGAGGTATGCTCTTTGTTCCTTGGTGACTGCACATATTTGTCATTGTATATATAGACTTATTTATTTTCTCTTAATGTTCTGTTTCCTTCTTAGAATCCATAAATTGTGCTTTAGTAACTCTGATTGGTGGTACGTTAGACATGCAAAAGGTGGTACCGGTTATGTACCTCGAAATTTTGTTGCAAGACAACAAACGGTTGAAAGCGAAGAGTAAGCTTTTTTGTATTTTCAGTTTGTATAGGACATGCGATCTTTATGACCTTTAAAATTAAATTTAGTCTTTAACTTTATGTTCGTATTAGTTCATCCTAACATACTTATTTTAATGAAAGAGATAAAATTTGGTGGCTTACATAATCTTTCTTTCTATTTGCTACTGAAATTCTAACGATTGCATCAGTTGCAACTATGAATATAATGAAAAGGATTTAGGTGGTTTGCTGGTAGGATTGCACGGAATCGAGCAGAAAGACTGGTTTTAGCTAGTAATCTCCCGAAAGGGACGTTTCTTATTCGTGAACGAGAAGCAGATACTCGAGAATATGCTTTGACAATTAGGGATTCGGATGATCAACGTGGTGGCACGGTTAAACACTACAAAATCAAAAGGTTGTTTTTTGTATTTCGGTCTCTTTTTTTTGGTATGTCACTAAATGGTAAAATATTAGCGAGATTTTATTGATCAGTTAGAAAAGTTTGTACGTCTCAATTTTATCAAAAGCTGCAGGTATTGATTTTAAGGTGAAAGTTCAGTGATATATTTTGGCTGAAGCAAATTATAAATATTACAATTATTGTAATCTTTGAATCATTTAATATGAATTCAGACTGGATGGCGATGCAGGTTTTTTCATAACGACTAGAAGAACTTTCGCTACTCTTCGTGATCTTGTTAGTTATTATTCAGGTTAGTTATATAAATTTCTCTTTTTTTCACTAGTTTATTTATTTAATTCCCTGCATTTTGAATTAAATTTGTTAATTTCGATATGCGATCCTTTTTCTTTCAGAAGTGGCAGATGGTCTCTGCTGCCAGCTGTCATTTCCAGCACCACGTATTGCTCCTACACGTCCAGACCTTTCTCACGATACTCAGCAGGTTGCTTTTGTACTTTCTTTCTAAAATTTCTGATTCATTTTGATCTCAACGGACTGTTATATTCAGAAACTATTCCTTTCATATCACTTTGTTATTCAGAACTGGGAAATCCCTCGAAATCAACTTCAACTGAAACGAAAATTAGGTGATGGTAATTTTGGTGACGTGTGGTACGGAAAATGGCGAGGCATGGTGGAGGTGGCCATTAAGACAATGAAACCAGGAACTATGTCCCCAGAAGCATTTTTGGGGTGGTTTTTTTGTTTTTTTACTTCCACATGTAATACACAGTTTTTCCGATACAGTTCGCAAACTGAGAAGAAACTCATAAGTATGAAAGATATGGCATTTCCCACAGTTGTAAGTTTGATGCATAGTGATTATTCATACCAAGTTTTAAGTAATTACTCTTTTATTGGTACCAAAACTTTTTTGTTCTGTTCATTTTAAAATGCGTAGCTAAAGTAATCTACTTAAAAAACGCAAAATTTTTTATGTGCAAAGTGATATACACTTACTGATAACCGATGGAAAGTTTACCTTTATCTTCTCACTAGAGAGATGAAGATTTCCAAGCAATTTTAGAGAGGCTCAAATTATGAAGCAATGTGATCATCCTAATCTCGTGAAATTATACGCTGTTTGCACCAAAGAAGAACCATTTTATATCATCACAGAGTATATGGTGAATGGAGCATTACTGCATTACTTGCGAAATGAAGGCAGCAGTCTCACTTTGCAAGCGCTTGTGGACATGTGTGCACAGGTTCGGCTTTTTGGATTGACGCATCTGGAGACTAAAATTAAATGAACATTCTCTCAAAATTTTATTCGTTGTATAAATTATGAATTTTGCAATGATTCTTTCCCAAATTTTGAGAATATGTTACAGGTCGCTAATGGCATGATGTATTTAGAAGAACGAAAATTAGTACATCGAGATCTTGCTGCAAGAAATGTACTAGTTGGCGACAAAATTTCTGGTGTGCCTGTTGTGAAGGTAGACGTACTTGTACTAATTTTCAGTGTGTGACATTGAACTTTTCTTTGTTGGTTTTTTGAAGAGATTATAAAAATATTCTTAAGGTTGCTGATTTTGGATTAGCACGAAAGTTAATGGAAGAAGATATCTATGAAGCTAGAACAGGAGCGAAATTCCCAATAAAGTGGACTGCGCCGGAAGCAGCGACATGTGGCAATTTCACTGTTAAATCAGATGTTTGGTCATACGGAATCTTATTGTATGAAATCATCACGAAGGGTCAAGTACCGTATCCAGGTATACTACAAAAACTTTACTGGAATGTGGGAGGGGCTTAAGTATTTTTTGTTGTTTGTGTATTATTTTTTAGTCAAATTGTTGAATTTTTTGTTTGTATTTTGCAATTTTTTTAATTCTATAATTAAGTGAATTATCATTTTGTTGTTCAGGTATGCAAAATCGAGAAGTGATTGAGCAAGTTGAATTGGGTTATCGCATGCCTATGCCACGAGGATGTCCTGAGCAAGTATATACTGAAGTTATGCTGAAGTGTTGGGATAAAGTATGTTTTCTGATCATTTGTTTTATGTTGGCTATTGTTTATTGGAAGTTGGCGATAATAGGCAGAATGTTTTGATCGTCTTTCTAGCTGATTGTATTTCGTTTTGTTTACATTTGTTTCATAGTAATAATTTCAGGTGCCTGATCGAAGACCAACATTTGATTATCTTTTCCATTTCTTCGACGATTACTTTGTTAGTTCGCAGCCGAGTTATGTGCCACCATCTCAGAATTGAATTATTTGTTACTTTTGAATATTGCATGTATTGTGTTCCAATCTTTGTCGTATCTGTCGAGCTTTATATTATTGCAGTGTCTATTTTAAGACTACTGAATGAGTGTTTAATTATAATTGATTCATGTTGTTGTTTTATTTTGAAAACGTTCGCAGGACATTGTTATTTCATAAAAAATCGACTACATGTGTCTTTCACAGATCTCTGACAAAGTTGGAAAATTTTTTGGGTCATTTCGATAGAGTGTTCCAAATTCCTACATTTTCTCTGTATTATTCCAGAGAAGTACATGTGCTTGGTCTTCTCTTTATGCTTTTATTGAATGTATATTTTGATATCCTCAATCTGTACTACGAATTGCTTTCTGTCGTACTTCGTCTTAAACAAAAGTATGGCTTTTTGTATGCCTTGCTGTTTATTTCAAATCATAATGTTTATGTTTGTCGCAAAAGTTTGTTTCACTTCGTTGTGCAATATATATACATACTTCTTTATTACCTCTTTAAATCACACGTCTTAAACTATTAAAAGAAGTTGTGTGGTGATTTTATTTGCATACATATGCTTTCACTACTGTTTCATGTATTCAGTTGCTATTAGCTAATTCTTTCATCTACCAAACAAGTTCGCAATAATCCACTAAGAATGCAGTTTGTATAATTGGTAATGATTATTGATTTCACATCATTATTTGCTGCTCGTAAATTTTAGTAGATTTCGTTCATTCATCGCACGTTAGCTTTCTATTCGTGTTAAATATTATATATTGTTATGTTGCTTTATTTATGTCTTAATAAATTTTTGATCTATGAGTGCGTCAAATTTCCTTGCTGCCATTGATAGCAAGTCTGTTACTTTTTTCATTACTAGTCAGTTTTATTATTAAAGATGTTTTCAGGTTGAATATATTATATTACCTCTGTATCAATTAATGTTCATGGTGATTTTATAGGTCATTGAGTTCATAACGTGACCAAAATGCATCATTGTTGCATGTTCATTTTTGCAGTTATCTACTGAGAGAGGTGAAAAGCCAATGGTATTTTTCCGAGCAGGTGGGATGGAGGCTGCACCATTCGATCTGGACATGGACCTGATGTTAACAGATCCTCAGTCTGATCTGATGTTATCAGGTGCAAGTTCAGCGGAGGTGCATGATCCGTTCATGTTGGCTGATGATGACAATGCTAATCTAATCACAAATAGTGACTCAGATTTAAATGAGTTTTGTACGTTCTCCATGCCGGATTTATTTGGTCCTGATTGCATGCTAGATAGTTTGTGCTCGCAACTAGATGCGCAGGAGAATTTTGCTGAGGAGCACTATTATAATTCCAATCGATGTAGGTGGTAGTGCTGATTTTTATTTTTTAACAATTGGTTTGGAACTTTGGATTAGTGTCTTACTTCTGTATTAAGATCTCTGACTAATTCAATTTTTCATATCTTGGTAGTGATAATTTTTTTAAATTTTTAGCAGAATCACTTTCATCATTAAACTACGAAGGAAGCAGTTCTGCTGTTTCCTATTCTCAGAGCACTTATGAACAACTCGATCTGCTTGAAGTACCTTTTTATATGCATTTTGTCTGTTTTAATTTCTGCGAGTTCTCTGATTTCAAATTTTGCAGATTTATTGTTCGTTCTATTTTTAATATTTAGGAAGCTAGTAAAGAAATTTTTGACGATGATGATAAGCGCAAGAACTATATGGTCATGCCTTCAAGAGAAATTAAAACAGGTTCGTTTCTGTGGCTTACTCTTAAACTTAATGTTGCAGTAAATAACGTTCAAATAATTTGTTCATTTAGAGCGTGCGTTGAAAGCAGTTTCTTCAACTCCTTCAATTATTTCTACGCGGTTAGCAAGTCGATTGAATACAAATGATGTGAGCAAGAAAACAAAATCACCTCTAACTCGTATTGCAGCAGGTACTTTTTATCACTAGAATGTGATTGTGAGTGCTAATGAGCAATTAATATTTTATATTCGAAACAAACTTTTTATTTCTTGCAGTTATTATGTTTTATTCAAATCATGCTAAATTTGTAAACGTTGCAAATTGTCGCTCATTAGGTTAAAATATATTGTTGGCAAAATCTCTGAAAAATTTTAGAAAAACGAAAGTATCCACCGCTTGTCTTAACTGAAGAAGAAAAAAAATTATGCAAGAAAGAAGGAGTTCGGTTGCCTGAGCATTATCCTTTAACAAAAGCGGAAGAAAGAGAACTGAAACGTATACGTCGCAAAATTAGAAATAAGCATTCGGCTCAAACAAGTCGTAAGAAGAAACAGGCAATTTTACTCTTTTTTTCTTTTACCGAATCCTTCTCTTTCACTTTGTGATATCTTAATCGTGAAATTTATTGTAGGACTACATTGAAGCACTGGAAGATCGTGTTGAGAACTGTACCTTAGAAAACGAAGAGCTTAAAAAGCAGGTTGAACTCGTAATCTTAAGTATTTTTTCTTTTTACTCCTTGATCAAAATAAAATTGGTTTTCCTTTTTTTACCAAAATAACATTGTTCAGTATTACTGATTGCCTTTTATGCTTAATTCTTTTTAACTTCTTGTATTGCACCATTTGTAAAAATAATAATTTAATGCAGGTGGAACATCTGAAGAAGCTGAATACTACATATTTATCTCAATTACGAAAACTACAAACTGTCGTCGCAAATGGATCAAAACGAAAAGTACATGCTGGTGCTTGCTTGGCGATACTAATGCTTTCCGTATGTTTACTTGTTGCTCCTAATTTATCACCTTTGTCAAAAAAACGAAACGAAGAAGAAACGGAGCAAGTTACAACTTCGAAAACGCAACAGCCGAAAAAAACACCTCCCATTGCAGGTTAGTTTTTATAAGTTCTTGTTTTCAAAAATGCGTTGATGTACAGTACTGTCCATCGTTTGCAAAATTCATATAAATATATAAGTTGAAGACCGTGTTTTAATCATTGAATACTATTTGATATGTCTGTATTCAGTTATGCTATTAAAAGTGGTCAATAAATATTTTAAGGGCGTTCAAGATCACTTCTGCAGCTTGTAAGCTCTGTTACTGACAAAATTGATGCCAATACTTGTGAAGAAGAAGAGATTGATGATTCCTCCGCTAGCAAGTCTGACATTTTTTTTTAATTTTAGAAAATTAGAACTAAAAACTGCGGAGATCATGGCAAATTTTCTCAAAGACTGTTTTTTGTGATAAAGGTAATATCAATATTTTATCATGACAGCATTCCTTTTAATTCAGATCTTTTTCAAAATTCATTGTGTTTAGATCGGAAGATCGTCAGATGTTATTCAAGAACAATTCACGTGGACAGAAACGTGTTATGTTCTGGAATAGTAGAGGACCAACAAGTGCACGACCACATTCTCTTCTTACAAGAAGAAAAGCTCCTCCAAGTTATCAAAATGTCAAAATTGGACACTTTACTCGAAAACGAAATGCCGCAATTGATGAAAGTTTATATCCAACTACATCAGCCTATGATAAACCATGGTTACGCACCATGAGTAGTGTCGAATATAAGCAAGCTAAAGTGACTAACGGTTCTACTTTTCGTGTTTATGCTAACCCTGGCAGTTTTATATCAATGGATTCAAAAAATCTGCGAATACAACAAGCATAAGTGGTAAAGTTGTGTTTAGACTCTTTTGTTAAGCAAAAATTTGTGCGATCTTTTTTTTAACTAATATAAATTAACTTCAGTTTGCATCGGAGTCAAGATTTGAAAACGTAAAAATTTTGAACATATTAACTTTTTGAATCACACATATGATTTGCAACAAGAAAGCCTAATGGTAATGATTTTTAATCTTCTTTTAATCATACAATAAAAACCACATTTGTGCACTGAATATTTTGCTTCCTAACTTGTGTTTTATTTATTACTAGTTATATTTGTAAGTCTAACTGTCATTCATAATTTTTGCAATATTTGGTCTTTCCGGGATGTTATTAAATTATTTTTGGTTGCTCTGATTTTTCCTTAAAAAGTGATTGGACTTGGTCCTAATGTCCCTCTGCCTTGTTAAATATTGAATTGTGATATTTTGTCTTAGTCAAAAATTTCGTTTTGGGTATGTGTATGGCATATTTTAATTTCCGATAAAGTTCTTATATTTCCATCGTTGGTCTGATCCATAAGGTTTCAAATAAAGACAAATATAATTTCTTTTTATGAATCTGTTCACAAGTAGTGGCTGAATTAGATGACATTGGTATTCGCTTCTTACATTATTGCGCGAACAAAGTAATACAGTTGCAAGGCAGTTGAATTAGGTATGTGTATTATGAGGATATCTTTTTGCATTTAATGTGTTGGGATAGTCATGCTAAGTAAGATGTAACGAGTCTCTTTATATACTGACTGCAAAAGAATATTCTTATAATTCTTTACATATAATACATGCAAAAGTAAGTCTGAAAATACCAGCTTGAGCAGCGCAATATACGAAAGAAGGCTTGAATTCTTGTGTCACCCTTATTACCTTCACATACTTGCATCATAAGTAGTATTCTCCGAGCTTACTTGTGTTTGGTAAGTACACACTTGAAGTGGATTTTTTTCTTCGTAAAATTACTTACGATTTCTGGATCTATCAACTTATTGTCGAGTATTATTATAATTCTGTTTCCTTTTTGTGTAGTAAATAGAGGAGTATGAAAGTTGGAAAGGCAGTGATAAATAAAAATAATGCGAACAAAATTAAAAATAATCAAAATTTGTCAAAGTTAATCACTTGCAACATTATACGTGATTGGATATGTTTATGAATATTACAAAGTGCTACCCATCACGTTGAGAGGTCACTTTATTTGGAGCAAAGAAGTGACCATAAGAAGTTTAATGATATTACAACGATAACCCAAATCTTCACAAACATTTTTACGCAAATTATTTCATTAATATAAAGAAGTCTTTTGATGCAATTCTCTTTCTGTTTCAAACTTAGTCAGATTCATTATCTGTCTTTGGTTATCCCTATCTCCTGTACTATTATGTACTTACATGTATTCTTATTTAAATTTGTTTACTTTTATCCTAAAATAGAAGAATAATTTTCATTCTTATTTATTAGTAAGTACACATTAACAAATATCAGTATATCAGTGCAAATACAAAATCTGAAATATGCAATAATGCTCAACGCAAGAAGTTTTTGTTCTTCCCATATGTTGTTCTCAATTTGAGTCAAAGTGATTGAAACATTGAAATCTTAAGTAAAGGTTAAAGGTTAGCAAATTTATGCATGAAAACATCACTCAAAGCAAGATAGTTTTTTCGTTTACAATGTTTTTCTACGATAATATATCACGCAATCAATTAACCATCGTACTGAGCACTTGAAGTTGACAGTCAGCACGGTTACTGCATCATTCAACGATAATTTGATCAATTGTGCAATACCATAGTTAATCAATCAATAGTTGACAACTCTTTCATGATCAGCTCAGCCTTTGACCTTTGCTACCTTTCATAAATTTTATTTTAAAGCAAAAGTCCACTGATCAAAAATTGCATCTGCTAATTCTATCATGTTTTACAAAGTCGTAAACAAGCAGTTAAGAAGTCGTCCTTTCCTCCTACACGTATGTACATCTGTCATATTTGATATTAATTTTATTTTTGTTTTACTTTATTCATTTCTACGTGCACGTATGCAAGGAAAAGTGAGCTGCGTCTGATAAGTCGTACTGAGCACGTAAGATGATTGTCAGCAGGCTACTTTTGCATTTGGAGTGAAGTAAACTGCTATGGTCATATAACATCAGAGATACTTACATATGTTTTAATCATATGAACTATATATATACTAAACCAAATTTATAGCTTTTTAGTTTTTATTTAAAATTGAAGTAAAGTTTTGTTGTGCTGTAATTGTAATCTAATTTGTTGTGCGTAAATTAGCCCGACAAATAATTAATTACAATTTCAATTACTTTTATCAATTACTGATTTCAATTACTTTTGTAGCATTTTGCTATTTTGTACACTTACTCACATGTCTCAAAGCTATTACTAAATGTTCATTTTTACCAAAATATGAAATTGTCAATTTTGTGTTGAATTAAGTAAGAATGAAATTAACATAAATAGCAATTATTTGTTAAACTTTGAAAAGAACCGAAATGAGACAAATATACAAACAAGCAATGGTTTTTATATAATGCAAACAGCAACAAAAAGTCATCTCTAATTTTTAAAATTATACAATAATTAATCAATTAATTAATTAGTTATTAATCGATC